CTCAAACTTAAGAACCATAATGAAAAGCGAGTCATTGAAATATTTGCCTTGGCGATTTATGGTTTGCTAATCTTTTTTAGGGTATTAGGGCATGTCAAGGTATAAATGGTAGATTCTTTAGCATAGTTGGATAAATATTTCAATCCTTCAATGGTTATCTTAGCGAAGATAATTAAATCATTGAATTATCGTTGTAGAAAAGGAGAATGGCATTTTTTGGGATGTGTGCAGCTTTTATACATCTAGATTCAAAGCCACTTTTAGGGTAAAGATAAAGTTCCTTTAAGCCATACAAGAAATCCTAGTCCCTATCACAAAGTTCTATAAAAAATAATGGTCAAAAGACGTAAAGATACCTATACCTAATGAAGAACCTAATTTTTTACCTAAATGGAAATGGAAATGGGTATTACATAGTGGGTATAGGAATAGAGTGGGTATGATTTTAAATTTTTATTAGGTATAAGAATGGGGATAGGTAATATAACACCTGCCCCATATTCGCACTCTACATATATATATATTTATATATACTTAGTAAATAGATTTTTTGTTAAATGATATAAATTATTATTTTAGATTAATTAGAATTAATATATTTTTATTGAAAAATATATATTAATATGAAAAAATTACCTAAATATATAATACAAAAATAAAAAATAAATTATAGTTTTTATTTTTTAAAAAAGCTATGGATATAAGGATTACCTATACCATTAAATACTTATGAGGACGGAGATGAGGATAGATTTGAAATACCTATTGTATATGAATACCAGGATAAATATAATATAAAAATTTGAGAATGGGATGGGGAATGCTCTATCCGCCTTATACCCGACATATTGACATCCTTAGAAAAACTTTACTAAAAAGCAATGGGTTGCATTTTTTCAAAATCTTGATATGGAAGATTTGATGTGGAGAGCATTTTGGATGCTTCATCCATCCATACTGTATAGTTGTAGTGATAAACCATGGGTCCACTTTTTAGAATTTAGGGGAGTTATGAGTTATGCACCCTTATGGTCAGGAGATAGTATAGGTCTAAATAGTTTGTTCAAATGACTCATGGGTTGAACCAGTTAGAGTTCGATTATGGAAAAGCTAACTATGTGGTTAGACTACACAATATCACTAAAGCAGGAAAACAAACTTATCAATCACAGCTAAGAAGATGTAGTCATGATGTCACCTTAGGATACTTGGTAGGGAGAGCAAAATGGGTTAATAATATGGTACCCTTCAGATGATGGTTTGCTTAATTGGTTGATCCATGGGCAAAGACACTGATGTTGGAAATTGAAATTGTGAGGTTGGAATTCGAGGTAGAAAAAGAAAGGATACAAAAAGAGAATCTAAGACTTCAAAAAGGATTGAGACAATTGAATTATTAAGACATTGTATAGGAAAGTCAATTAGAGAAAGTTAAAAAGGATAAAGATGTAAATCGTAGTTACTTTAAAGCTTGCATGAGGAAAATAGGGGGTTAAAAGCTCAATTAAAAGATGAAAAGATCAGACCTAATGGGAGGCAAAAAAGATTTGTTTTATTTAGTAATGGCATAACAATAAAATAAGCCATCTAACTATATTTAATCAAATTTTCACTTAAGCCCTTATTTTGTTATCATGTGATTAAGCCAAACTATTTGAGTTTAATGAAACTTAATTTGGATGGGAAATGCTAGTGATGATCCTATTAATTCAAATTGGTGACTTATATATATAGGCAAACTTCGATGACATTGTACTATGTGGAAAAAATTAATTGACGTTCGAAAACTAATTAAATGTATATTTAAAGTTATACATTCTTTAACCTTTGTAATTTATTCAATTTTTAATGAAATTATGATATTTTTTATATTTATATGAACTATAGCTTTCTGAGTTAAGACATAACAATGTGTGTAACATAATTAATTAGGAAAGGATACTTCAAATAAGCTAGATATTTTCTCTCAAGAATAAAGGTTATAAATCTAAAGCGTATACATTAGTTATAAGGTCCCTTCAAGTTACCAGCCTTCAATGTCTTAGAGAGTTAAATGTGTCAAACTGTTATAGGTTGAAATCTATCTTATTTTCTATGCTGGCTAGAAATTTGCCACACATAAACTATTTGGATACAGAGTGTTGAGAAGAGTTAGAAGAAATCATTGAAATAGACCAAACTTCAATAGCATCATTATTATAAAGTCATCTCCAACTTATATCCTTCCCTTGTCTTAAGCGTATATGGATTTATGGGTGAACAATTTGAAAGCTTGTTTCTAAGTATTGTTGCATATTCTCTTTCAAAACTAAAAAATATCCAAATTCATTGGGCTTTCAAATCAAAGCAAGTTTTTGGGTATGAAAGTGAATTAAACTTGAAGATGATGGAAAGGGAATAGTATTCCTTGAATTAAAAATATTGAGATTTTTAGAGCTTTTAAGCCTAAATTCCTTCACGCAAAAGGGTTATCATTTTGGATTCCCTTTTTTGTGTTAGTTTGGAGTAAAAAAATGCCCTAATTTGAGTACAAGTTTCAACAAGGACTCAAAACACATTTCCATCCCATAACAATGGTACCTAACCAACTTTTGCTTTGCTTATGCTTAATTTCTTGTTCTTGATGGTTTTAATTATCAAAATGAAGTGTTCTTGTTCTTGATGAAAAAAAGGCCATATCTATTATTTTGTTCTTAATGGAATACTTGAATATATATACACATGAAATGTTCGGTCCATCACCTAATTACATGGAATCAATTAATTAACTAATATACCTTTTTTGTAATTGAAGCTATCAAAAATTAAATCTGATTTTTTTACGTCCAAAGGTTATTTTGGTCATTTTTTTCATTAGAGACTACCAATAAATAGCCAAGGGCATTTTAGACTTTTGGACTGACCTTACATGTCTGATCAACTTAATGCTACAGTACCACGTTAGCTTAACTTCGATCAATCACCTAATTACATGGAATCAATTAATTAACTAATATACCTTTTTTTTTACTGAAGTTATCAAAAATTAAATCCGACTTTTTACATCCAAAGGTTATTTTGGTCATCTTTTTTCATTAAAGACTACCAACAAATAGCTAGGGGCATTTTAGACTTTTAGATTGACCTTACATGTCTGATCAACTTAATGTCACAGTACCACGTCAGCTCAACCACCTTACCCATCTGCCCGACGAGCTCCCTTCAATGCTATCTTGTCGTCCTCTTGTTGGATAGTCAATGTCCAAGTTAACTTGATACTTTAGGTCATTTTTAACCATATAACTGACCTTGGCTACCTGAAACGCTTTACCTTCCAACTATAATTGGAGTCATGTAAGTACCATCTAGACATGATACGTCCTTTTATCTTCTATATTCTTCTTCCTATTTTCCTCTCTTGCTAATCTTTGACTTGAGCATTGAAGCATAAATTTTGGGGAAACACCTAGCATTTAATTTTAACTGCTTTCTTTATTTCCTTTGTGGTTTTAAGGTCTTACCTCTCCAACTTAGCTAGACATAAGCATTTAATTCACCAAGTAGGGAAATTTCTTTCTTTGGTTGAGCTAAAACACCATGCTACCAAGAAAGAAAGTTGTCAAGGAAGTACAACCAACTGCCACAACTAGAATCGAAGCCCAAGCCAGCCAACCCACAAATCGACTTTCACTAGCAAATCCTAAAATGGATTTGTTTATTACGAATGGAATGGCCTTACCAACTTAGTTAATATCGATGGCATTTTTTCATTGATAAATCAGTCAATAATACTATTATAGACAGAAATTTGGCTTTTTCCAACAAAAATTTTCATCATTAAAACCCATTTTTCTGGTAATGTGCTCTATATTTGAATCCTCAAATTTCACCCATTCTCAGTAATTTTTTTGTTATGAGATCACAGCTTGGAGATAAGGGAAGAGAGTGCAATGGTTGAGATTCCAACCCTAAATTTACTGAATGTTACCTATTATGAGTGACTACATGAACTAAGTGAAGCTTTGAATCCTACTCTTAGATTTTTCAATAAAGTTAAAAAAAAACTTATTGTACATTTCTATCACTACAATTGAAGATACCCCAAAGTTCACTTTCACAAAAAATACAAATCTTGTATCCTTAACCTTAATTACCAGTTGAAGAATTTAATCCAACAATTAATGAAAACAAAAGAACATTTTTCTTTTTTTATTTACACTGAAGTTTGAAAACATTGAAGTTCGAACTCAAAATCTTCAATTTTAAAAGCAACCTTAATACTATTAAAAAAATATTTTTCTTTGGCAATCTAATTAACATATTAATTATCAAGTCAACACACGAGGACTATGTTAATCCATGATTTCTCATAAAATCACTCCTTATTTTTTATTTTTGTTAGAAAAAATCACTTTTTATAAGTACCATGTATATATATAATAGCAATAAGGAAAGTTTTATAGTAAACTTTTTAATATTTTCATCATTCTTAAGATATCTTTAAAACTTAACTTACACTCCCTCTACCCCAAATTGTTTGGGTGTTATTAACTTTCATGGAGCTTAAAAAAAAAAAAAACTTTGATTTTATGTATTTAATATTAATTTTAAATTTTTTATAAAATTAAATTTTCATGATTTTTAATGTTAAAATGTATAAAATATATGTATAAAAAATAATTTCAAAATATAAAAAAGTAAGAGTTTTAGATATAAAAAAATATATAATTTTAAGATATAAAAAAATATGAACAAAGAAATTAAGATGGAAGAAATAAAAGTTTATCATAATAAATTATGAGATGCCGGTCTTAAAAGTTTTAAATTTCTAAATCCAAATAAAACCCAAACGAAGCCTAAACATTAGATTTCTGAACCAAAACGAAGCCTAAATCTAGATTTTTGAACCCAAACAAAGCCCAAAGTCTCACTTTTTGAAACGGCGCCGTAACGACTTTTCTTTCCCTTCGCAGTTAAAAGGAAGAAAAGAATCCTCACTTGTATCTATCAATAAAGCCATGCCTCGTAAGAGAGCTCAAATGAGCTTGCCGTGGCGGATACAACAGCCCTGCAAAACCCGCATCTTCGCCGTTTCTCTCTCATTTTCTCTCAAACCAAACAAAAAAAATAAAAGCGAAATCTCTCTTAAAAACCCTTTTTTTTCAATTATACTCTATTCGACGACTCTCAATTTTGTCTGCAGCAATCAGGTCAAACTTCTTTCTCTTCGATATTGCTTTCCTTCACGTCTCATTCATATACTGCTTATACACTGAAATCTGGTAAATTACGTTATCATTTATTGATTTTCATTTGATTTTTTGCATTTAAAATTATTGATTTTTTATTTTTTGCTTCTGATTTTGAAAAAAGAGTAGGGATTGAATATCGTTGATGTTGGGCGCTTTAAGGAGAAAAGTTGCTAGCGGAGACTCATCATCTTTGGTTAGAGCTTTTAGTGTTTTAATTGTACCGTATTTAGCTAAAGCATAGGATTTTATTAATTTTTTTTTCATTATTTTTGTGATTTTTTAGGTATTAGGGAAGTCATTGCTGGCGATTCGACGGGGTGTTTCAGCATCTAGAGTTTCTTCTAATGCTGGAAAAGAGGTAAATAATTCAGTTGAAAATGAATTAGATTTGGTAATCATGAGCTTAGTTCAATTTCTTTGAATATCAATGGATCTTGATGCTATTAAATCTATAACTGATGTCGAAGATGGTTGATTTATTTAGGCCTTGCCATAGTAAAATATTGATATAAAGTAAAAGAAGTGCAATATCATATGGTAAAATATTATCTTTTTTTTTTTTTCAAAAATAATTCAAACTTAATTCTTTGATTTGAAGTTAAGAACTGTTAAAGCACACGTGACCTGCATGTGCGGTTAATTTGTTGCAAAATTCGTATAATCATTCATACCTCTAGTATAATTTCCATAGTTGTTTCTGCATTTTCATTTTTTTCAGTCTGACACCAAAATTGCAATTCGGAGAATTTGTTTCCTATATTAAAATACTGTTCCAACAAAAAGTGCTAGAAAAAAAATTGTTGTTCTTGGTTTATGCATATTTGAGAGTCGTGTTGTCACACAAGTACACAATTCTCACTCCCTAAAACTAAAAAAAAAAAAAATTTAAAAAATAAATTCTTTAAGTAAAACATTAATGTTTAATTTTACACTCGATTTATAATTATTTGTAACATGAAAATTTAACTAATAAACAAGGTCTATCATATTCTTTCTGGTGAAAAAAAAAATTCAACTTATTATTTGTGATCAACAATAATTTTTGAAGAAAAAGATGGAAAAATGCTGAAGTAATGTATTTTAAAGTTTTCAATCGATACCAACATGACAAGTAAACACTTTTAGAAAAGGCTAGCTAGTTCACTTGATAACTTTGTAGTTTCCATTAAAGTTTGTTAAAGTAAAAGGGTCTGGTAATGAATTAAGATGCTTTTCAAGGACCTTCTTTCATTGTTTTTCTTTTTTTAATTGTTCGACGGGTTAATTCTCATCGGCCAACGTTTCATACTTCTTCCATCACCATCGGTATTTATTATATACACATAACTCATTATCTCCATTATATATAAAATGTTTTTAACATAAATGAAACAAATTATAAGTACATAATATAATTTGAGGGGATTCAATTGAAGTATACATGTCTATTGGCTGAGCTAATTAACTAAACAAGTCCTCTTATTGGCTGATACTTTTCGCCGTAGTTTCAATTGAATTGGGAGATTTGAAGCAGAGTTTTAAATTTTGTGGTCGGTTGAAGATTTCCTATGCATTTACATCCTAGTGATATCCATCCCTCTTGCCATTGCACTTTTATTTAGTGGTTAAATAATTTAGTAAAAGAAAAAAATGTTTGGGCCCTTCTCTTGCTGTCTTTCACAAGGGTTTGAATGAGAAAATTGGTAATAATAATAGTAGGAAAATTAATAGGTTTTTAATGTTATTTACTCTGATGTTGATTTCAATTTTCAAAATTAATTTATTTATATTTTTTCACGAACTTTTGAGATTATATTTTGAAAAATTATTTGATAAATTAATAATAAAATTTTTTAATCTTACAAGTGAAATTAAAATGATAATATATATCTTATTTTTTTAAAATTAATTTTTTAAATATATAAAAGATGTGTTATCATTTTAATTGCGTTTATAAAATTAAAAAAATTTTCGTTAATATATTTAATAAAAATTTTTATAATTTTTTATACAACTCTTTGAACAAATTTTTTTATTTTTTTAATTAATGAAACAACCATCCATAAATGTTAAATTATGAAATTTGACTCTTTATTTTAATTAAAATAAGTAAGTGAGAAAATTATTGCTGAAAAATAATTTAAAAAAAAAAGTAAAGGGACCAAAAATTCAAAGGTGAATGTCATATCTCACTAACAAAAGCTGTGAAGAACAAGCTGGGAATCGTGATAACGATCAGATTTCCTCGAAAGAAAGATAACAAAGAAAAAAAAAAATAAAGGTGTGAACTTCAATGTATTTCACCCAAGACAAGGAAATGATGTTACTTTGGACCCTTGTCAAGTTCTCTTCTACTAAAGGTTTGAATAATAATAATAATAATAATAATAATAATAATAATAATAATAAAAGACTCTAAAGAAATTAAAGAAGTCTTTAATGCAACTTTCTTAAGTAGTTTCAATTAGTTACAAAGATTTCAAGTAAAACTTTTCTACATTTGTGGATTGTTGATTTTTTTTTTTTTTTCATTAGAAGAAAAGTTGACTTGTATTTCATCAGTTTTCTTTAAACACGAAAGAAAATTGAAATTAACAGAAATTTATCACTTACATTAATAGAATATTTTTAAAATATTTTTATTTTATTATTTTTATTTAAAAATCAATAAATTAAAATACAATGACAATAATTTAATATTAAATCGTAATATAATGACAAATTAAAGAAGTTACGCCTCCCAATAAAAGGAAAAGATGTTTAGGCCCTTTACAAATTGTCTTCTGCTAAGGATTAGAATAAGAAAAATAGTAATTATAATAATAATAATAATAAAAAAAGACTCCAAAAGAAATTAAAGAAGTCTTTGATGAAACTTCCTCTGTAGTTTCAATTGGTCACAGAAGTCTTTGATGGTTCAATTTTTTTATTCAATTGAAGTAAAGTTGTTGGATCCTGGAACTTCATATTTCCTTTTTATATTTATCTTTTTTCTTCTGTGTTGCTGCCTTACCTGACTCTTACAACTTTCTCCTCAAACAATTTCCATTGAAGCAATCAAGCATCGTCTTCTATCATTATCTCCACATCTTCCAGCTAGCTAAACTACCAAATCCTTTGTTTGATTTCTGCCTTATTGCTCTTCTTTTTATAACTCAACAAAAAAATTTTGGTTCTCTTTTTAATTTCCTTGATTTTCTACTTTACTTTTATAACTAAAAGAAGCTTTTTTTTTTTGTTTTTTTTTGCTTTTATTTATTTCTAATTTTCTATTCTTTTAACAGGGAAAAAGAAAAAAAAATGGTTCTTGATTTTCCTTTACAGATCCATACAGCTTTTGAAGATCCATCTCAAGTAAGAGGTATGTTTCAATAAACCATTTTTATATAAATTTTTTTCTCCATAATTTTTGCTATGCTCAACTTCATTTTTCGTTTGCTTCGATTAGTCTTCGATTTTTCACTCTTACTTGTTTACGAATTTACTTAAAATAAATAATAATAATAAAATATTTATTTTAAAAAATTTAAAATAATTGGTTTCTCTTAAAATAGCTAAAATGTGTTATTAAATAAAAAGTATGATTCGATATAAATTAATAAAATATTAACATAAAAATAATTTCAAGGAAAATATAAAAGAATTGATATTTTAAAATGAAAGAATCAAAAAATATTGACGTAAATATGTGAGATCTAGAAATAATAAAATTTGTTAGAAATATTGTAACATTTTAAAAAATAAGTTATGAAAATTTTAAAAGTAATAAAACATAAGAATAAGGCTTTGCTCGATACAGAAGATGAAGAGGGATAAGGATAAAACTTTTTAATCTAATAGTTAAACTACAAAATAAAAAAGTGGTTATAAATTTTAATTATTGGATTAATAAATTTTTTATTCCTGATCTTTTCCATCTTTAATTTTAACCAAGCAAAGTTTAAGTGTTGGAAGATATTATTTTATATAAATAACTACATTAATAATGTAAAATTTAAATTAATTATTTTTCTAATTAATAGATATATAACATCAATGGCTAAATAAATACTTTCAAGGCTAAAAAGATAACATTAAAAGTTAACATTTTAAAATATATTTTAAAAATTATTAACGTAAATAATTGAGAAGAATAATAAAATTCATATAAATTTGTTTAAAATAAGTTAGAAGTGACGTAATACCTTAAGATAGAATTATAAAAATTTTAAATATAATGAAAGGTAAGAATAAATGTAAAAAGATATTTTTTTAACATAAATGATTGAGTTGTTACATAAAATTTAAATTAATTATTATTCATGTAAATATTTTTAGGCCAATGACTAAAAAAATACTTAAAAGTAAAAAAAGACAGTGTTAAAAAATTAATTTTTGAAAATAAAAATATTAAAAAAATTATTAATGTAAACATGTGTGAGAAATTATAAAATTAGTATAATTTGTTGTAAAATGGGTTAAAAGTGTTATAACATGAAAAGACAAAATTATAAAAATTTTAACATAAATAATTTAGAAAAGAATAAGTATAAGAAGATATTATTTTAGCATAAATAATAAAGAATAAGTATAAAAATTTAAATTAATTATTGTTTTTGTAAATATTTTAGGCCATGACTAAAAAATATTTTAAAGACTAAAAGAATAAAAGACAATGTTAAAAATTCATTTTTGAAAATAAATAATCTTCAAAAAAAATTATTAACACAAACATGTGAGAGAAAAAATAAAATGCATATCATTTGTAGTAAAATGAGTTAAAATCATTGTAACACCTTAATAAAGAATTATGAAAATTTTAAGTATAATGAAACTTAAAAGTAAACATAAGAAAATATTATTTTGACATAAATAATTCAATTGACATCGTAAAATTTAAATTAATCATTTGTCCTATAAATATTTGTAGGTCATGGTTAAAAAACATTTTAAAAGCTAAAAAAGATTCTGAAAAATGTAAGAATAAATGTTAAAAATATTATTTTAACATAAATAATTAAATTGACAATGTAAAATTTAAATTAATTATTTTTAAAAAAAATTTTAAGGCCAATGGCTAAAAATACTTTAAAGGCTAAAAAGTTAATGTTAAAAAATTAATATTAAAAAATTCAAAAAAAATAAAAATAACGTAATTAGAAGTGTCATAACATCATAATAAACATTTATAAAAATTTTAAATGTAATAAAAATTAAGAATAAACGTAAATATTTGAGAATAATAATAAAATTCATATCAATTAAGGTAAAAGGATTTATAAATATTTCCTTCAAAAAATTAATAGTGCAAATAAGTGAGAAGAATAATAAAATTCATATCAAGTATAAAATGATTTAGAAGTATCATAACAATATAAAAAAAAAGGTTATGAAAATTTTAAACATGATAGAAGATAAGAATAAACATAAACATGTAAGAGTAATAAAATTTATATCAATTGATGTAAAATATATTAGAAATGTTGTAATGGATTAAGAAAGAGCTATAAAAATTCTAAACGTAATGGAATATAAGAGTCGACGTTAGATAATATTATTTTAATATAAATAATTAAGTTGAAAATGTAAATTTTAAATTAATTATTTTCCTATAAAGATTTTAAGGTGGCTAAAAAATAGTTTAAAGTCTAAAAAAGAAAATTTTAACAATTAATATTTGAAAATAAAAATAATCTTCTTTAAACAAGTTAATAACATAAACAGATGAAAGAGATAATAAAATTAATATCATTTGCTATAAAATAAGTTAAAAATATCATAACACGTTAGGAATGAGTTATAAAAATTTTAAATATAACGAAAGATAAAAATAAAGTAGACAACATAAAATTTAAATTAATTATTTCTCTGTAAATAGATAAGATAAATGGCTAAAAAATACTTTTAAGGATAAAAAATGTAAAAAGATTGATATTTTAAAACTAAAAAATATCATAAAAAGTATTAACTTAAACAAGTAAGAGGAATAATAAAGACGTTAACTTAAATAATGTTGTTGTATCTTTTTGGCTTTCTTTGCTTTCTACTTTCTTTTTCATTTTTAATGATAAAAAAGTATTGTCACTATATTAAAATGGCATATTAGCAGTAGTTTTGTAGCGGTCTTTCACTTACAAACGTCATTAGCTTTCGTATTTTTATAAAACTTCAAGCGTTAATTATCCAAACGTCATTAAATATTCAAATAGAGGCGTTTATATATATAAACGCTATTAAAGACAAAAATTAATGGTGTTTATTAACTAAAATACCTTGAATAATCCTATCTGCTAAAATTGGAATGATTATTGAAGGCATTTCAGGAAAAAAAAATGCTTTGAATAATCTACTCATAAAAAATAAAAGTGATTATCGAAGGCGTTTTCTACCAAAAACACCTTCAATAATTCTTAAAAAAAAAATTGTAGAGGATTATTGAAGGCGTTTTTTTGTCAAAAATGCCTTCAGTAAATCTCTTTGTCAATAAATTTGTGAAAAATGGAGTAGCATTGATGGTTAGAGTATACGGTTGTTAATTATAAGGTCATAGGTTTGATCTCTTCTTTCAGCATTTTTTGAAATTTTCAAGGGATTATTAAAGGCATTTATGGTCAGAATGCCTTCAATAATCTTTCAAAAAACCTAAAAAAATGTTGAAAGAAGAGATCAAACCTACACCCTTATGATTAGCAATCATATGCTCTAACCGACAGCATTACTCTATTTTTGATAAATTTATTAACAAGAAATTTTATTGAAGGCATTTTTGACAAAAAATGCCTTTAATAATCCTTTACAATTTTTTAATGAAATTATTGAAGATGTTTCTAGTAGAAAACACCGTCAACAATCGCCTTTATTTTCTATGAGCAGGTTATTCAAAGCATTTTTGTCTAAAACGCCTTTAATAATCCCTTACAAAAAATTGAAAGGGATTACTAAAAACATTTTTTTACAGAAAATACCTTCAATAATCCTCTCTAAAAAAATTATAAAGGATTATTGAAGGCGTTTTTGACCAAAAAATACCATCAATAATTCCCTCAAAAAAATTAGAAAAGATTATTGAAGACGTTTTTTAGTAAAAAATACCTTCAATAATCTTCTCATATAAAATGAAGGAGATTATTGAAAGTGTTTTTTTACAGAAAACGCCTTTAATAATCTCCTTTAAAAAATTAGAGGGGATTATTGAAAGCAGTTTTGGTCAAAAAACACCTTTAATAATCCCCTCAAAAAAATTTAAGGGGGATTATTGAAGGCATTTTTTTTTTCAAAAAATGCCTTCAATAATCCTATTTGCAAATAGTGACATTTTTTTAAAGTATACACTGCTATCGTGATGAAATAGTGTGGCTAAATTTTTTTTTCAAAATTGAAACCCCCCCTCTTTCTCCTCTATAATTTCTTTTCTTTCCCCAACTTTTTTCTTGGAAGAGAATGGTGAGAAATAAAATTCAAATCAAGAAGATTGACAACGTAGCAACAAAGCAGGTGACTTTCTTAAAAAAGATATAAGGACTTTTTAAGAAAGCTCATGAGCTTTTCACTCTTTACGATGCTGAGATAGCTCTTCTAGTCTTTTCAGCCGCTGGAAAGCTCTTTAAGTACTCAGCACAAGGTTGCTCTCACTTATCTCATATCTATATGTGAATGCTTTGCCTTGATTCTTGCTTTATCTCTACTGGTTTAATATAGAAATCTTTACTTGCTGTTTGATTTAATGTGTTAAATGTGCTTGGGTGAGTGTGAGAGGAAGTGAGAAACGTAACTATTTTGAAAGAAGATCTTTCGAATCAAGAGAACTATATAAAAGTATAAATTCATGATAATGCACTTGAATCTTGTATTCTATTACAAAAAGAACTTTTAATAATTTGTCAAAAGCTTAGGGGTTTGAGGTGGGAGGCCATGGTTTCACATGAATGTCTGTATGATATCTATTGATGCTTGTTCATACTTTTTTGAACCTTGTTTAAGCCATATTTTATGACTAATCAACTATTTTATAAGAAGTTTATGCTTTTCATATATCTTTGCTGGTGCAACTTAGAGCACAACATTGATATTTTACCTTTCATTTTTCTTGTCAGAACTTGATCTGCTGTCATTTTCAATTTTCTTAATTGAATCTTGTTACAATTTTAGGTTTCCTACATTCTTTTTGAATGTTCTTTAAGGTTTTCATAATGAAATTTACAAATTCTCATGATTTCCTTTTCAAATTCTGTAAAATTCACATTGAACTCAAATCTGGTTTCAAAATTACGCACTTGACCTATCTTCAATCTTTTGATCAAAACTAACTGAATTCTAGCTTGATTTACTTCAATTTTTTTTTCCTAGATTTGTAGTTCATAAGGCTATAATCCAGTAAAAATTCAGCCTCAAATTCCATTTGTACAAGTACAGTTAATTCTTCAAAGTTAAGGGTGAATCCAGAAGGCAGAAACAATCCATGCATAAAAACTTGATGAATGATGATCCTCTCTCCTTCTAGGTGTTCAATTTGATTCTCTCTTATTTTACATTTTTAGTTTTACATGTTTACTTGTTATTTTTTAATTTATTGCATTTATTTTCATGAATTCATTTGGTGTTGGGATAGATTTAATTGTTAACGCTCTGTTTTTCTCTGTTTTCAGTATCACTTGAGTTGCAAGTTCATTAAGCTGGTTTTTCTCAATTTTTCTGCCATTTTCTTGTTGAATTTTGTAGCAAACTTGATTGATGAATTGTTTCTTAGCTCATTTCAAGTTCATTTTCATTATGAGCTTCTAGACCTAATTTTTTCTTTCATCAACTCAGTGAGTTTCGGTTGAATTTCACTTTATATTTTAGTTGTTTCTAGTTAATTCTTGTATTTTCTTGCCCTTTTTGTTCTTCAAATCAATTTTCCTTTTGGTTCCTTAATTGATCTTTTCATTTCCAATTTTATGATCAGTTGTTTTAGCATCAATTAGGTGTAGATCAATGAGATCTTGTATATCTTCCTTGATTTTATCTTGCATTACAAATTTTATGTTACTTTTTATAACTTACCCAGTGACATTTTTCAATCAGGATGGAACATGAAGTTGTGGAGAAGATAAATAAAAAGTATTGTGATGCAATTCTAACAACACATTTTGAGGTTCTTGGAGAAATGTTCTCTTTAACAATGGAAGCCAAGATGAGGAATAGGCATTGTAGGTTCCACTCAAAGCAAGTGTGACTCATAGAGTCCGTTGATGGGCAAGAGGAAAACAAATGCAAAGTAGAATGTTATTACATATATTAAACTTTATGTTACATGCATATTGGAACAAATTCTGTATTTAGATATTTAAATATTTATAATATTCAGTTTATGAATTTAAATTCATTTTTATTTCTTTTAACAATTTTTATTTAATTACAATAATAAATATTAAAATAAAATTTAAAAAAGTAAAATTTTCGATTTAGCGGTGTTTGTATTTAAAAATATCATTAAATACTGAATTTAGTGACGTTTGTATCAAAAAACACAGTTAAATTTAGTGACATTTTTAAACACAAACATCGCTAAATTTAGCGGCTTTTTTTTATGCAAATGCCACTAAATTCATAATTTAGCAGCGTTTTAAAATACAAACATCATTAAATTTAGCGGTATTTTTTTAAAACATCTTTATTTTTCGCAACATGTGAATAAGTGGCACTCTGCGTGACATTTTTCACAAATACCGCAAACCTTATAGTGGCATTAATAAATGCTGTTAAAGAGTAAAAAAAACATCACTAAAACCCAAAACCCCTTAAGTGTGTATTATTTTGTTTCATACTATATCTATTTTGATTTGCTTTTAGCTCCAAAGAAAGAAAAAAATAATTTCATGTTCTTATAATTTTATTGTTGTTGATTTTTTTACCCTTTCTTTTTAAATTTCTATTTAGGCTGGTCCTTAATTTTCCCTTCCTAATGATCTCTGGAGTTGGTGATGTAAAACGTCCACATACCTTAATTTAGAAAATCCATTCCCAGTTAGGTAAGTTTAAATAATATATTTTTTTATTTTTCATAATTTTTTATTTGCTCCAAAGTTCTTTACTTGTTTCTTTCCCTACTATATTTAAATAAAAACTGCATTGATACTACGTCTTTACCCTAAAACATTATGATACATTCTTAATATATATGCGCATGAACACTGAAGAATTTCTACTATCTGCAGAATTTTCAATTTCCAAGTTGATCCATCAACAATTGTTTCCATTTGTGACTGTAATCCATTAGAGCAAGTCTTAGATTTTCTCAACTAAAAAGAAAAGGGTGGGATTGAGGTAACTCTTCTCTTTCCATTTCTCCATTTCTTTTACTTATATTTTTTCCTATCAGACAAAATAGCTAAAAGAGTAAATGGAGGAAGAGTTGAGATAGGAAATTTTGTATTTGTGTGAAAAATCTATTTACAACTATCAATTATCGAATAATTATAATGTTATAAAGAATAGAAAATCTTATTATAAGATTTTAATTTTGATAAATTAGTGTAAGATGTGGAGTTTTACAGTACATCAGCTAAGATAATTTTAAAACTATTTCTTTCATACTTAAGGATAAATCAACGGAGGAAATAAACAAGATTTTGAATCATTAAATCTTTCAACGCGTAGGGCATAATTCGATAGAATCTAATCCCATGAAAAGCAACCAAAAAAATAATAATAATAAAGTAAGAGAGAAAGTAATTGTTGAAAAATAATTGAAAGAAGACAAAAATAAAGGGGCCAATAATTCGGAAGTGCATCAAAGATGCCATGTCCCACTAGCATCAATGGATCATTTTTCTTCAAAAATCGTACGAGCACCGAACAAAAAAAAAAAAAGTAAAGGTGTGAATCAAAGAAGCAAAAATTGTATGGCTGTATAATTTTTTGGTTTCTTTGATTTCTATTTTTTATCTTATTTCATGCAATATCTATTCTGATTTGCTTTTAACTCCAAAAAAAAAAAAAAACTTCAATGTTCTTATAAGCTTATTGTTACTAATCTTTATTTCCTTTTTCTTTTAATTTCTATTAAGGTTGGTCCTTAATTCTTCTTTCCTAATGATCTCCGGAGTTGATGTAAAAAGCTCTCACAGCTTAATTTAGAAGGTCTATCCCCAATTTGGTAATGTTTAAATAAGTATTTTTATTTCCATAATTTTTTGTATGCTCAAAAGTTGCTTACTTGTTTGTTTCCCTACCTTATTTAAATAAAAAAAACTGCATTTATAAGGAAAAAAAATGAAATAAATGGTTATATTTAAAAATTGAGAAAATATTAGATAGATTAATGATCAAAATATATACTGCCTTTACTCTTAACACAGGTAACATGTATTCTTAATATATTCATGAACACTGAGTAATTTCTTCCATTTGCGGAATTTTCAATTTCAAAGTTGATCCATCAACAATTTGTTCTCTTCTACATCAAAATTGTCTCCCAAAGTAATTAAGTTACTTTGCCAACATTCACAATTGCTTTTGTCTCTCTAGCTGTTTATATGTTTACTAAACATTAAAGTTGTTTTTCAATCTCAGATCATCAAAGAATGGCTCCTGAATTTGCTGCCTCTGCTGCTGCCAATGCTGTAGGAAACCTCACAACAGAATATGCATCACCTTATGTTAGTTACCTTTTCCGATTTGGGAAAATTGTTGAAGAATTCAAGTATCGGAGAAATGAACTTGAATTGAATAGTGATCGGGTAAAAAATGATGTCGAAGAGGCATTAAGGCAAAATGAGTTAATTGAGAAGGATGTCCAAGACTGTCGAAAAAGTGCAGAGAAAGAACTGAAAGAAACCCAGAGTTTGGAAGCTGAAATAGAACGTAAGAAGTGTTTCAATTGGTGTCCAAGTTGGGGTTAGCGGTACTGCTTAAGTAAGAAAGTGGCAAAGAAAACGATCTCTATCAATAAACTTCTTGAGAGTGGTAACTTTCCACGGGTGGGCTACCGTGCTCCGCTTCAGGGGATAGAATTCTTCCCATCTGAGGATTTCGTGCCTTCTAAATCTTCAAATTCAACTTTGAATGACATCATCAAGGCTCTAAAGACTAATGGTGTGAACATGATTGGATTGTATGGAATGCCAGGGGTGGGCAAAACAACTTTGGCAAAAGAAGTTGGGAAGCATGCTAAAGAACAAAAGCTCTTTGACAATGTTGTGATGGTTACAATGTCCCACACTCCAAACATCAGCAATATTCAAGATAAAATTGCTGCCAAAGTAGGTTTAAAATTTCAAGAAAGTATGGAAGATGTAAGAGCAGAAGAGTTATGGGGAAGATTGAAAGCCGCGGACAAGATCCTCATAATTATTGATGATGTTTGGAGTGATTTTAAATTGCAAACTATAGGTATTCCATTCGGTGTTGAACACAAGGGTTGCAAAATTCTTCTAACTACACGTAGTGAACAAGTCTGTAATGGAATGAAGTGTCAAGAGAAATTTCATCTCGACGTCTTATCCGATGATGAAGCATGGGCTTTATTCAAAGTTAATGCTAGTCTAAAAGATGTTTCTTCGACATTAAATGATGTAGCCAAGGAGGTTGCTTCTGAATGTAAGGGTTTGCCTCTTGCAATTGTAGCCATCGCAAAAGCTCTAAATGGTGCAGATCTAAATGAGTGGATAGCAGCAAATCAGCGACTCAAGGACTCAAGACATTTATACAATGAAGATGCTTGTGGAGGTTTGTACAACCGCCTCAAGCTTAGTTATGATTATTTGAAGGGAGACAATATTCGATCATGTTTCTTGTTGTGTTCCCTTTTTCCAGAAGACTTTCGTATTGGTTTTGAGTGGTTGATTATGTTCGGAATTGGTTATGGATTATTTTCCGATGCTATTCAATTCAAGACTACCGGACAGAAATTTGTGACGCACTAAGAAAACTCCAAAAGTCTGGTTTGTTATTGAAAGTTGATGATCGTGTACATGCTTAAGATAATGAAATCTATGTAAACATGCATGACGTGGTTCGTTACTTTGCTCATTGGACAACATTGAAAGAGAAAAATATTTTCATGGTAAAAGAGGGGTCGACAGAATGGCGTACGTGTGAAAGTTGTGGATGTTATACAGCAATCTCCTTTTGGAACAGCAACATAAACAATTTTCCTGACAAACTGAAATTTTCAAAATTGAAAATTTTGATTTTTACAGGAAAGAATTTCCTGAGAATTTCGAGTGCAGTTGTTAAAGGAATGAAGACCTTCGAGTTTTATATCTAAAAAATGTCATTTTCTCGCTGGAAGTACTTAAATTCATAACGGATCTTCGAACTCTGTGCTTTGTAAATTGCAAGCTCGAGAACATCCCATCTTTGAGAAATATGGAAAACCTCGAGATTCTTGCAGTTTCTGATACTAATATTTCTGAGTTGCCTGAAGAATTAGCGGCATTGCAAGGACTAAAATCACTACATTTTTCTTACTTTGAAAGCAAATGCATCAATTTTCCCCCTAACTTGCTGTCAAGGTAATAGTAGATGTCAAATTTTTTTAATCATATTACTCAAAATTATGCAATTAGTTTTATGTTATTTATTTTTCTTTTATTTTCTTTATTAAGTAATTTGATTTTAGACTATGGGAAACATATCTACCATATATTTTTTGTCACTCCCATGATTATGAAGCATTCGAAGCTGTAGTCCTTTCCATTTTTAAAAAATGCTAGTATATAACATGATTGTCACATGAATTACAAAATAGTAAAAAATGCTCAAACCTTTTTTATAAGAAAAGATGTTGAAGAATCATGCTATATTTGCTGAGATAATTAAAATTAATTTATGTTTACTTTTATTTTTATGATTCACTTGAAGTGTTGATAATAGTTTTTCCTATTTGTGTGTAACAAACAGGTTGACATCACTCCAAGAGCTACACGTTACATGTGAAAACAATGTTAACTTATCGGAGCTGAATTCATTGTCTCGTTTGACTGGGCTGTCACTGAAAGTTTCTACTGCTCAATGTTTTCTAGAAAAATTTGTGTTCCCTAAACTACAAAGCTACATTATAGCTGCAAATGAAGATCTTCAATTTATGCAGGGGCTAAAATTGAGAACCTTGAACATCGGACGTTTCTCATCTTCATTAAGTGCACTCATGGAGTTGTTTTGCAATGTGGAAAAGTTGAAACTGGAGGATGTCAAGGGACACAAAAATATTGTCCCAAACGTAGATCCCAAGGGCCTAAATGGATTAACTTCTCTTGAGTTTGGAGATTGCGATGATATGGAATGCTTGATGGAAACAGCAGGAGAGAAAGGACCAACCACTGCATTCTCTAATTTGGAGAAATTAAGAATGGAGGAAATGACTTGTTTGAAAGAGTTGTGTCATGGTCCGCCTTCGATTTGGTTCTTACAAAGGTTAAAAGATGTGACCATTGTAGGTTGCAAGCGGTTGAGAGTGGAATTTGAAATGGATGGGCTTCTTGAAAAGGAAGAAATTAGTCAGATGCCGCTACTCTCAAATTTAACAAGCTTGTATCTATGCTTTTTACTAGAATTGGAGAGTATATGGAAATTACAATCAACCCATCAATATCACGCAAGCCTCCAAAGTCTAAAGGTTGTAAACATTTTGGGGTGCGGTGAATTGAAAGCCATCTTCCCACCTTGCCTTGCTCAAAGTTTGTTGCATCTACAAAAGCTCTCTATACATGACTGTACTGGATTAGAGCAAATCATTGATTTCCCCCAAGAAATGGGTGAGCTTGAGGTACCTGTTCTCTCTCCATTTCTCCTTTAATGAATAATGAGAAATTACTAAACTTTATATATTGATCATATAATTAACTTCTGTTGAAGTTTAAAAGAAATTAAGTTTAATTAAATTATATTAGTAACTAAACTAAATTTATACTTATTGCATTGTTTGCAAGTTGAGAAAAGCTAACACTATATACCCGTTTTTCTCTTTATTATCACATTTTATAAAATCTTTGCATTTTTTTCTTTTTTTTTTATTCTTTATGTAAAAATATATTATTCAATAACTACTATTATTGCCTTTGTGTAATGTTTTGTCTATATTTATTTGCTTTTTCAATCAAATAATTCATGCCAGGTGCGGCTACTTTCTAATTTAACTTCTTTGGAGTTATACAAATTACTAGAATTGAAGTGGATATGGAAAGGCCCCACCCATCTTGTTAACCTCCAAAGTCTTTAAGACTATAAAAATATGGAAGTGTACGAAACTGGCATATCTCTTTCTGACTCCCCTTGCTCAAAGTTTGGTGCATTTGGAAGTACTCGAAATAAGCCATTGCGACTCTTTGGAACATGTAATCTTTGGAGAAGCAAATAATGAGGATCAAATAGTTTTAAACATGGATGGCTATCCTCTCTGCTGGCCTAAGTTGAGAACTCTCAAGATAATTAATTGCGGAAGACTGAAATATGTGTTTCCAATCACTTTGGCTCAAGGACTTCCTTATTTGGAATCTGTTGAGATAACTGATTGTTCTCAACTAAAGCAGGTCTTCAATGTGACAAAGGGTAAGGGTGGACGTCCACCACAAGACATTGTGCTACAGAGATTGCAAATTTTAAGGCTTAAAAATTTAGAGAAACTGAGTAGTTTTTGTCTAGAAAATTTTGTCATGTCATTATCTTTGAAGGCGTTCGAAGTTTGTAATTGTCCCCAATTAACAGAGTTCAAGACGTTGCAAGCCCATTTAAAGGTACTTCTCTTATACTATATTTTTGTTTTAATTTTGTTTATTTTGGTAATAATTAATTGAATTATTTATCTTATAACACAAACGTCAAAATTCAGTACATTCACATCTACATGTAAAAGTATTATATATAATTAGCTTCTGTTGATGTTTAAAAGAAAAAAGTTTAATTCAATGTATATTTATTACATGGCTTGCAGGTTGAGAAAACTAACATTGTATCTTTTTTCTCTTTATTAACACACATTATAAAATTGTTGTATTTTTTCTCTTTTTTTATTCTTTATATAATAAAATATTATTCAATAACAACTATTAATGCTCTTAAAACGTACGACTTGATAAAGGGTAAAAAGGAAAAAACAAAAAATAAAAAAAGGAAACAGGAAGGAGAAAGAGAAAGAAAAAAAAAGTAGGAAGAGAAAGAACCAGAAGGAAAAAAAGAAAAGAAAAGAAAAAAAAGGGAAAATGAAATTATTTAAAAAGTTTTATACTTTTATAATCTATTAATATTAAAATTAAATTAATAAAATTAATTATATTTATTATTTTTTCCTATATAATTTTAATCTTGTTTATAAATTTATTTTGTTTTACTTTTACACACACCATTAATTACATTATAATTGTATGCAATTTATATTTGTATAAAATATTTATGGATAAAAAATATATTTTATTGTTGTGTCTTACCGTACCCATGTCCTTTATTTTTATAATTGTTGTGTTGTCATGCCCATGTCATGTCTTTAACTGTATTATTTGTCACTATTTATGCTTTCTACGTACTAGTTATACTCAAAATTTTGTTACTAATTATTTATTTTTTTATCAAAAAAGTAAGGGTCAATCTTTAAATAGTCAAAATTAATAATTTTTTTATGATAATGTTGATATGGATATAAAAAATATATCATTTTATTAAATTGTAAAAGACATTTATATTAATGAATATTCATAAACTATTAAATCTTATAAAGTTGAACAAAAAATAAACCATTAAAACATCAAATAATAATATTTTATTGTTATATATATTTGATTGAACAATGGAGCATATATAATTATTTATTTGTTCATAACCATTTGCTTTTTATTAGTTCTTATTTTTTACAAACTTCAACATATATATTTGCTTTTTATTAAAGCATAAGTCAAATATGCATGTATAAAAAAAAAAATCAAATGTCCGAATTGAGAACGTATATACAGTTGAAATCTTTGAACATATGCATAACAAATATCCAACTTAAACTAAATATATAAAAGATATAAATCAAATTTTTTTTAGAATAAATCAAATAAAATGTATATATCATATAATAGAAATAAAACCAAATACACAATTTGAAGGAACAAACAAATGGAGGAAATAAAAAAATAAAAAAATTAAATATGAAAAAAAGTAATGAACCATACCTATTATTGAGTTGAAACCAATCCAAATGTACGTACTATTTATTTTTATTTTTGAAATTTGATAAAAAAATTCAATGCCATTTAAGCAAAAAGTATATAAAAATAAAAACAATTCAACACCATCACATTCTTATTTTTACAAATAAAAAATAAAAGAAATAAAAGAATAATAAAGGCCAAAATGAACTTGTTCATAGTATGATGTGGTTTACTCTTCTTTTTAACTCTTGTCCATTCCCGTGAAAACCAATAAATCATAACCTTCAAGTAAAAAAAAAAAAAAAGCTTGTGTTATTCCATTTCTAATTCTAATAACAACAAATAAAATAAGCTTGGCTAGAAGATGACCTCTCACTTAACAAACTCTTTATTTTCAATTTTAGATTCTGATTTCATCAAATAAAAATTTATTAAGTGTGTATATATATATATATATTTGGAACTATGATTAAATTTTAAAAGAAAAGATAAATTATGGTTTAATATATTTAAATTCAAAACTTATGTAAAATTTTCAACATTTGATAGAGTTTTATTTGAATTTAAATAGTTATCCAAAAATATTAAATTTAGATAATTTATTAAATAGAATTATTTGACGGTAGATAAAATATATTAAGCATATGTATACAGATATATTTTTGGAAGTATGATTAATGTTAAAAGAAAAAATAAATTACAATTTCATATATTTGAATTTAAAATATACACAAAATTTT